ACAAAACGACAACAACTTGTCTGTTCCCCTTCCCCCAATTCCCCAGCACTGTTCCCATCCCCCCAATTCCCCAATAAAAATCTTTAAAAAAAATCATAACAATGATATCTAACATTTATTGAGCACGGATGAGTGTCTTTGTAGTGCCAGTTCTTTGATTTATTCTTTCAGTGGTAGTGTTTTCAAACCCCTCTACATCCTGAATGCTATTCTCCAAAATACTCCACTCTATCAATGCAGCTTTTAAATTCTTCAAGATTGAATGGAGTATTCCAAGTGAAACAATGAATGGGTTTTTGGTGATATTTGTACTTCTTAAAGTTGGCTAGATAAGCAAAGATTAATAAGCTGCCTTTGTGAGTCTAGTCAGTGTCTAATTTTTCAGTGAGGTCAGCTTTATTCTTTATATGGAAAGCATGTTGGGGGTGGGGAGGTGAGTGACAAAGAAAAAATAATGATCATCACACAGATTGTTGTTTGGTTGCTGGTACTGCCAGCTAAGTCCAAAAAAGCAACAATATCATTACGTAGTTCGGCTGTATTAGAATAAGCTCTTTGTGATGTATACATCCATTATAGAGGGGGATGGAGTAGAATCTTGTTAAAATGTTAAAACAGAGATTTCAAATATTTCTAACTGTGAAGGTTTCAGAAACTTAAACACATCTTTAAAATTAAAAGAGGCGATACTTTTTGGATATAATGTTTGATTTTGGTAGTCGACAGCAGTAATTGATTTATCACTTGTCATTCTACTGACATTGCTTTGGCTTTTACACATAAACAATACTTTGTGGTTTATTTTTGGATCTAATGTTGATTTTATTTTTGCCTTGGTCAGAAGTATTAATAAAAATTTCCAAAGATCATTAACATATAAAATCATCACTAAATTTCTTCTTCATATGGTGACATTCTAAAGGTTAGGAATATTATTTGACTTAATTTTCTGGTGTAATTTATTATTTAAATGAGAAGTGCGCATAAGCCCCTAAACCAGGTCAGTAAAAATAAGGAAGTGAGTAGCTTATTCATAGATAACAGCTCTATCCAAAATATGCAAGCACATCATTTGTTGTTTCCCATGCTGTCCTCTTCCTAAAAAAGCATATCCGTCTGTGTTGATCGGCCTGGGCTGTTAACATCTCTAGTAACCAGACAATCACCATTTGGGAAACAGTAATTGTTGCAGACAAGATTCATCAATGGATGATAAAATTCATGGGTGAATGTATGAAGAGAAATATTAGGGCCGGCCAAGTGGCTCAGTTGGTAAAGAGGGCAAGCTCTGAGCAACAGGGTCACCAGTTCGATTCCCACATGGGCCAATGAGCTGCGCCTGAGCTAAGGTGCTGCTGAGCTGCCAGCAGATGGCAGGATGGCTCAGCTGATGAGAGCACGTCCTCCTAACAACAAGGTTGCCAGTTCGACTCCTGCATGGGGTTGTGGGCTACGCGCCCCCGCAACTAAGATTGAACACGGCATCTTGAGCTGAGTGGCTGCGAGCTGCCAATGGGCAGCCGGATGGCAACTGGACTTGGAACTGAGCTAGCTGCGCCCTCCACAACTAAGACTGAGGACAATTTGGCTGTTCCCCTTATGCAATTCTCCAACGCTGTTCCCCTTACCCAATTCCCCAGTACTGTTCCCCTTCCCTAAGTAAAAAAAAAAAAAAAAGAAATGGTATTTATATAGTCTCAAAGTCTCCTCCCATAAAAAAACTAGTGATGTTACAGTGGAGAAGATTAGTAGATACAGCCTTAATCCAGTGATCAGTTGCCATGATCAGTAATGGGACATGGACATCATTATGTGCCTTTTGGTATGATGCATTGAGAAGGGCACAACATTACTTCTGTGTTGTGTTTGCCAAAATGTATAACCTGAATTTAGTCATAAGGAAGCATTAGACCCAGATTCAGGAACATTCTACAAAATAACTGGCCAGTACTCTTCAAGTGTCAAAATCATGAGATTCCAACAGTCCCAGATTGGAGGAGACGTGGCAACTATATACCTTATGTGATCCTAGAGCAGAAAAAGGATATTGGTGGGACAATTGGCAAAAAAATTGTATAAGATTGGCTCTAGATTATTTAATAAATCCTGTGTTGGTTAATTTCCTGGTTTTGATCATGTTGTTGTTTTAACTGTGGTCATGTGAGATGTTGATACTTGGGGAAGCTGGCGAAGGGCACACAGGAATTCCTTGTACTATTTTTGGAACATTTTGTAAGTCTGAAAAGTATTTCAAAATGAATTTAAGCCACAACAGCAACAGAAAGTAATTCAACTCAGCTGACAAACTAAGACCTTCATGCTTTTACTCTGTGATATTTCTTTTGATTGGGTCGGGGTGGTTTTCTTTGCTTCCTAAATCTCCACTGTGATCTGGATAGCTGAGGTTTCTTATTAAGGGATTTGGGGATATGCGAGGTGTTGCCGGATTGGATTGCAACTACACTTTGAAAGGTTTTGTTTAATTAATTTACTTATTTATTTTTATACAGAGCTGTAATTACATCTTTGGGTTTCCAATGGCTCCCTAGGTTATTTGAGCTTTGCTGCTGTAGCCACCAGAACCCCTTGCTGGAAACTTAGCTCTGTAATTAACTTACCGGTTTGGTTCGGTTTTTATTATCATGTTCTGAGTTCAGGTTAGTCCCATGGATTCTTCTGCTGTGTGTCATATATTATTGAATTTCATGTTTGTTGGTTGTCTCTTAGGAAAAGCTGATTTTTATATAAAAATATTTTATTTAAAATTGAAATATCACACTAAATATCTTATTTTTCCTCTCAGAAAAGACAGTCTAGAGTTTTTGTATAGATAATGAATAAGTAAATTTACACTGGCATAAGCACCAAGTGATAATCTATTATTGGGTAATAATTACAATGGAGGAAATGAATACATTGGGAAATGCTTCTGTTAGCAGGAGCAGTGTTAATATATGTATGACTCATAGATTCTTAAGTCTAGGAGAAACTTGATGAGGCTGTTTTGAACAGTATGGGAGGGGACAAGACCATGAACTTGGAAGTCAGAAGACCTAGTTTTGCATCTCTGTAATGATCACTGCGAATTATTGTGTGTTAGACAGGTCATTTGACTTTTCTGAGCCTTAAGCTTTTCATCTGTAAAACTGGAATAGTAATAACATCTTTCAAACTTATTGTGAGAATTCACTGAAGCAGCATGCAGTGTACCAGGGCCAGTGGGGCCTTTCATATATGCTAGGTTTATAACCAAACCGTCTGTAACTGGGGAGAACCTGCTTTGCTTATGAAGTCCTATAAAAGGATGATAGCATATGTCAGTAACCTCTACCAGTATCTCACAAGTCTTATCGTCGGGAAGCTTCTCCATATCTCTTATTTCAAAGAAATTATTCTCTTTTATGGGCTAGCCACATAAGTTCTTACTCCAAAACCTGTTAGACACGTGTCACTCACTTGTCTAACTGCTGGAACTTCCTGTTCTTATCTGAAATCATTTGACACAAATAAAGTAGTAAAGTTGTTTTAGAAGAAAAACTTTAATGAGACAAAGGGACAAGAAGATGTACAGACAATTGGAAGGAAGCGTTTCCATGTACAGTTTTCCTTCAAGTTTTAGGTTTGAGTTGCCATTTTGATCCTCTGAAAGAGACCAGTTGTTCCTAAAGCTCCAGTCATTGTTCCAGTTTTACGCTAGTTTCAAAAGTACTTTCATTTGTCCTTACATTTTCAGATATTGATATTATACTGTGGTCATGTAAGTGAACATCATTGTTTTTAGGAATTATACACTGAAGTGTTTAGGACAGAAGGAGCATATCTGCAACTGACTCTCAGATGGTTAAGAAAAAAGTAATATATGTGTGTATATGTTATGTGTGTATATATCTATATATAGAGGAGGGAAGAGGGGGGAATGATATTGCAATCGTGGCAATGTTAAGAAATGGTGAATTTGGGTGACGGGAGTTCTTTGTGCTTTTCTTATAACTTTTCCCTGTTTGAAACTATCTCAAAATTATGTTGGATTGAATTATATTTCTGGACCCTGAGATGTAAGCGAGTGGCAGTTTCAGAGGGAGGGAGGTTAGAAGCACCTGGGGGAAGCATAAAAAATAAGTAATAAGTGAGTAATTTGGTCAATAGTAATTCACTGGCAAAAAATTTAGTTGTTCCTTTAATTTAACCTTTTTTTCCTTAGCCAGAACAGAATTTATTATTTTCTTTTTTGTAAAAGGGCCTTTCTAGGTAGAGAGTAAGCTGCTGCTGTATCAAAGCAGAGAAAACTACTTGGAAGTAAAATCAGATGAAAAAAGTAAAGAATTTTAAAAATATATATTTTATAAGACATATACAAGGATAAGCAAAATATATGAGGCAGAAACATTATGACTTTAAAAATTATCTGGTATTCAGGTCATCTTTCTTCCATTTGAGAGATATGTCAGTTTTCTATAATTAGCACCCTGCTCTACTAGTTAATAGATATTAATTGATCCTTTGTTTTAAATTGCTATTTGACTTCATCGTTAATATTTTGTATTCTTAATAAAAATTTACATGATGTTTATTATAATTTTGTCCTTCAAAAAGAACCTTCTAAGCTAAAGAGAAATGTTTAATCCTCTCCCTTTTCTTCCATGTCGACGATGACATTTCTTGGGGAATTTAGAAGCCAGCCAAAGGTAAGAGACTTGGGTGTATTGTGCGATGCTTGTAAACATCTTAGGTGCATATTTTTGAAGTACTGGTAAGTTTCTTCTCAAAAGTACTTTCTCTCTGTCGCTTTTGTAAAAGTAATGCGGGCCGTACGCCTCTTCATAAATGCGAAGCCATTTATTGGCATAGGAGGGACTGGAGGTTTATGGAAAAACTGTATTTGTACTTTGACCGATTCTGGCCAGTCTCCTGGCAGCTACAACACAGATTCCTTTTGTGCTCTGCTGTTCACCATGGACTGGCTCGAAACTGGTTGTTCCAAACTGTGGTCAGAACCACGCGAGGCAGCTCATCCATGTTGCTCCTGAGACAGCTGGGGACACGTTCTCAGGCCCACAGAAACCTGCCCTGGCCCACAGCTTCCTCGGGGGGCCATGCTTCCATCTTAGATTGGAGCCCCAATTCTAAAGCTTCACGTCGTCATATTCAAAAATGACATAAGTAACTTCGGGGGCTCATAGCAAGCTGGGGCTGGGGCAGCATATTTCCTGGGTCTTGGGGTCAGAGGTGGGTTCTTAAAGATGACTAGAAGTTTAACTCTTGCAGATTAAAGGGGATCCTGATATATGGTTGAGGACTGGAGGAGCCCACTGTGTGAAGATTGGGTGCAGTTCCACCATGCATGAAGGCTTACAAAAAGTTTTTGGCTGCCAACATTGAGCTAATGTTTGTGTACATAGGAGGGAGTAGGGACATTGGGGCTCTGGGAAGACCAAATTCTGGGCTTCAGTAGCTGGGAGTGGCAACGTAACTAGTCATGTAAAGGTGGCCAAAGGGAGAGGAAAAAAACAAGCAATCACGTAAACCATAAAATACAAACTCCCAATTCAGATGCAGTTGCAAGACACACAAGAGGAAAGCTGTCGTCAGGAAGCGAGGCAACAGACTCCAAAAGTTGGAGAGTTTGAAATAAAAGCTGAAATGAATTAAAAAAAACAATTACACTTAAAATCCTTAGAGAGGCTAAATTATAAAACATGACATCCAAAAAGTGGAAACAACTTTTAAAAGATCACAAAAGTGCATATTTTATAAAGTTCTAATGTAACAGATCAAAACAGAAATCATCTGTGATAGTCCACCAACTAGCATTAACCACTATCAATATTTCCAATGTATATTCTTTCTACTTTTTATCTGTATAGATGTTTATACAAATATGAGATCATGGTTTAGACTTATATAACATTTACAGCAATACATTAATATATGGACATTTTCTTATCAGTCTTCTACAGTCTTAAAGCTATGTAATATTGCACATGGGTGTGTTAAATTTAAAGACTGCTATTTTACAGCTATTTTCAACATGTTGTAACCATCTTTACATTTTATTCTCTTAAAAATGTATCTGTTTTCTCTAACGAGGAAAGGAAAAATATAGAGAATATATAAAAGCACAAAGAACACTAGTCTTATGCAGACATACACTTTATGTGTATGTTACTGTGTGTAATATGTGTATAGTACCCATCATATTGAACATACTATTTTGTAACCTCCCCCTTTTCATTTAATATTTTGAAGTTTTCCATGTGAAATAAAGATTTATATCATCTATAGGGTGCCTAGTTGTGCATTGTAAGGCTACCATAAATAATTTAATTAAATAATTCATTGCGGGACAGTAAGTTGTTTTTATTTCACTGTTGTAAACAATGTTACCAATGTTATAACATTGTTATAAAATAAGTATGTTAAGGTTTTGTTCTTAATGCACACTATTATTTTTATTTTTCCACAGGTGTTTGCATATGATCATTGTTTCTGGTCTATGGATGAATCTGTCAGAGAAAAGTATGCAGGTAAGATTGCAGTATCCTCTTAACTACTGATAATATAGAAAAGGTGTTTTAATATTTTTTTCATAAACTATCATAGTATTATTTTGTGTAACTTTAAAGACTATATAGAGAAATTCCTCCAATCTTTGCTATTAGAGTTTTTACATTGACTGGGAAAGGGGTGATTCACAGTGCACTGTTCTTGGTATACGATGATAAAGTTAAATCAATAGGGTACGTGGTTGAGGTTATCTTACTGACACGCATCCCCAGGCCTTCCATGACCCTAGTAGCACACAGTAGCCATGTAAATTCCCTTAGATGTCTGCAATGTGGTCTAGAGAGGCAGCTTGGTGTAAGGAAAGAAGAGACAAGGAGAAAAGGAAGCCTTGAATTTAACCAGGGTTCTACTCCTGACTGCCTCAGTGATTTGGAGTAAATCACTTAAGCTTTCAGTGTTCTGTGTTCTCTCTTTAATGAAGAGGTTTTCTGTAAATTTTCTCCATGTTCTCTCTAAATTTACTCTGGAATTCTATTCCTCTCTTACTCCCGTCAATGATGACTGTCTCAAGCCCCTTTTCACCGCAAGATAGGACAATAGTGACAACCTTTTATTTCCTTCAGCCATAACTACCTACGAGACCTGTTTCTAAGGAATCTCTTTTAAATATGGAGGTCATATTGTATTGGCTTTTGTCAGGAGAGACAGTAGTACTACAGCTATTGCAAAAAGTTAAGGTTAATTAGGTTTGTCTGGTTCAGTGATGACTTTAAAGGAGTGCTGCAGTATCAAAGTATGATGTTGTACTAATCTAGTAAATTAACTAGGAAGTAAGACATAATGAATGCTACTTACAGCATTTAAAACATAACAAACATAATAGAATCCAGTTTTTACATATTTTATTTAAAGTGTGCCCAGATCCCAATTCCAGTTTGTGATGGGGAGGGGTTTCCCCACCACCACCACCACCACCACCACCACCAAGCAATGCTGCAGACACCAGGTGGGTGTCCCACAATTCAACTCAATTCTGATACTGTCTACCTGGAGATGGCATTCACAGGTTCCACAGGTTAAGGGCTCAGTCCTACGAGACTGCCCCCCACCCTCCCACCTCTACTTCAGACACCAGTTGGAAGCCCAGGTTGTTACCTGTGTTTCTGACCAACTGGCTAGAAATCAGAGGTTCCCATGACCTTCTCCTTGGGGTTGGTTACTATTAGATTACCAGTTTATTATAAAAAGATATCACCCAGGAATAGCCAGATGGAAGAGAAGATATGAGAAAGGGGTGTCAGCTTCAATGCCCTCTCTAACTGCACTGCTCCCCCCAAATCTACCCATGTTCACCAACCTGGAAGCTCTCTGAACCCTTCCCTTCTGGGTTTTTTGTGGAGGCCTCACTACCTAGGTATAATTGATTAAATCATTGGCCATTGATGATTGATTCAACTTCCAGGCCCTCTCCCCTCCCCAGAGGTCAGGAGGTAGGACAGAAAGTTCCAACCCTTTAATCACATGATTGATTCTCCTGGCAACCAGCCACCACCCATCGATGCAACCCAAAAGATACCTCGTTAATAACAAAAGACATATTTATAACTCTCAACACTTAGGAAATTCCAAGGGTTTCGGAGCTGTGAGCCAGGAACTGTGGACGAAGACCAAATATATATTTTTTATAAATCACAATATTGTCGCAATATTCAAGACTCAGAAGTTGAATGACTTGTTAAAGTCATGTTTGATTACTGGCATATTTAACCCTCCATCGGCACAACTGATCTCACAGATTCATTGCACACAAATTTTCAAATATCTTGTAGTTAACTTAAGTGTCATGACTCATCGCTTCCGTATCTTCCTCCTCTACCGTAACCTATCACTAGTCCTGTGTTTGTAACTTAGTACAGTAAAGACGCATTTCATAGCGGCATCTTTGTGTGCAATGAATCTGTGAGATCATTTGCGCCCAACAGAAGGTTAATTTAGACTGTGGGAGAGCATTTGATCCTACTATTTATGTCCATGATTGAAAGCTAGAATAAATTTCCAAGATTTCCACCGTCTCCTAGCTGTAACCTTACATTGTAGAGCCTGTAATTTAAAATTGTCATTGAGGAAAAAAAACAAAAAAAGAGTCCCTGGAGAATTCTAGCTACCCTAGTCCACTGGTTCCAAACATTTGGCTACAGAAGCAAAACAAGCCTTCTGTGAATTTAACCACAACTGTATTTTTATAAAGAGACTTGAAATTTTGTTCCAGAGCAGTCTTTTCTGCCTGGTAAGACCATTTGTACCTTACCAGCTTGTTTTAAAAATAAAAAGTAAATGTTTCCAAGTGAAAAAAATTATCATTGAGGAAAAGGAGAGAGGATTAATATATATGATTGTTTTGAGCTCTAGTATCCACTGAATAAAGCATTTGCTAAGTAGTATGTAGTTAATTTCAGGTCCACCTAGGTCCCAAGTATTAATTTGGATATTTAGAATCACTGTTTATAAAATCAGCAGTGCATTAGCTTTTTGCATTGCAGAAGACTTTTGGTTAGTGTTTATTAATTCAAGATCATATTATCAGGAACATTTTACTCATTTCCTCTCATGTGCTAACTAGAAATAACCTGAAAAACATAAGCCTTTGGAACTATTCGTCAAGTTTAAAAATCTTGTTTGGAGATAAGCAAGCTGGAAAAAAAAGGTGCCTTTTCGAGGCTAGTTTTTTGTCTGTTTTTTAATTGTTCATATGTAGTTTTGGCTTAAAACATCCTTTTTCTCTTTCTCTCTTTTAGGTCAAGATGATGTTTTCAAGTGCCTTGGGGAGAATATTCTTCAAAATGCTTTTGATGGCTACAATGCATGTATTTTTGCCTATGGACAGACTGGTAATATTTGTTTTTTAAGCTTTAATAATACATGTTTTTTTAAAACTTTAAGGATTATAACAGAAAATACCAAAAAAAAAAAACCAAACACAAAAAACCCCTGTATTGTTAACATCAGATTAGTTATGACTGATAAGGAGCATTTTGACTTCTGTACCTCTGTGGTCAACAAGGAAAAACAAATCTATTTAGAGTGAAGGAGTCACTTTTTTAAGGTATATTGTATAGCTTATTCTTCATGGAAAAATGCTTATGATATTTTTAGTAGGTATTGTGTGTGTAGCGGTTGTAAGAGCAAGGACTCTAAGCCAGGTTATCCCAGCTCCAGCCCTATTTTTGCCACTGACGAGTTGTGAAACTTGCACCTCAGTTTCCTTGTAAAATGTTAATTATTGACCTTATAGGGTTATCACAATGTGTTAACAACATGTAGAAACTTTTAGAAAAGGCCTGGTACATAAAAAGTGGTGTATTATTAGTTTTAGGTATTATGATAATGATAAAGTGTCAAGTGACAAACGCAGCTACTTTTATGATTAAAACTATGTTTACAAAATCACTGTTAGTAAAAAAGGAAAAAGAATTAGACTTAAGTTTGGACTTTGAGTGATTTAATTTTTTTTCTATTTTCCTGTGTTTTCTAAATTGTCTTTAATAAGCATGTATTCGTGATGTAATGGAGAAAATAATTTTATAGTAGAAAAAGATTACTGTTTGGATTCTGTACTTTTGCCAAAGCGTGGTAGGTTTCTTTGCCCTGGGGCCTGTAGGGATGACATATAGTTTTTGTGGTTTGGTGGGTGGTTGGGAGCAGACACAATAATATTGCTCATATGGATCTTCCCAGTTGATGTTAGAACACTATTCAGATATCACTATTTTCAGTTAATTTTTTTTTTAAATATGAAGATGGTTAAAAAAAAATTTTTGTTTTCTTCCTAAAGGATGTTTACTTTTGACTTTTACATGTGCAATAGGAAAGCTTCTCTGTTCGCCTCCTATTTACATTTGGGTATATTTCTTTTTTTATTTTGGGCATTTTGCTAAGTGCTAGTAATTTATGAGCACTGGAAAGAGGTTTTTGTGTTGAAACTTCTCAAAGTGACAGTAATAGCTGTGATTTTCATTTTTTAGGATCTGGAAAATCTTACACCATGATGGGCACAGCTGACCAACCTGGATTAATTCCAAGACTTTGCAGTGGACTCTTTGAACGGACTCAGAAAGAGGAAAATGAAGAGCAAAGTTTTAAAGTAGAAGTGTCCTATATGGAAATCTATAACGAAAAAGTCAGAGACCTTCTTGATCCCAAAGGGTAAATTGACTTTGAGACTTGAATGTTACAGTATTATAGACTAAAACAGACTTAATAAATTGGTCTAAGTGAAATTCTTCATATTGAGCTCTACTAGAGAGTTATTTATCTAGTTATTGTCTTTGTGATTTTATCTGCTTATTGTTTTTGTGATTTCTTGTTAGTTACATTGAGTGGCTTCCTGCAGCCAGTTCTGGGCTTTTGAACTTCGGGCAGTGGGGCCGGGCAGCGTGGTTGAGCCACATGTATTTGGGTCATCTTGTCTTTCTCAGATAACATCCAAAACGACAAACAAAAATTACATAATGAAGAGTAGTTGCTTCGTATCAGGATAAGTAGTATCCTTAATCAAATAGGTTTTTGTTTTTTGTTGTTTTTTTTAAACCAAGAAATTTCAGGTGGAATTCAAGTGTTTGCAGGCTGTGAAGTGAGAGAGATATAATTAGAGATATGAAACCTGAACTTTAGTATAGTTAATTTTACAGATTCCCAGAGGGGAAAAAAGTCCCATTTAGTGGCATAGAGTTTGAAAGAGAAGTGGCTCTGAAGTATTAGAAAGCCTTAAAAAATGCTGTTCTCGCTTTACAGTCATATCTGAACGTAATGAGGAAGATAAGAGGTATCTGAGGAAATCGGTTCATTGCATAGAGTTCTCTGATCTTAAGAGGACTCTTAAGATCAGAGTTCTCTTGATCTTAAGAAAGTGCAACAACGGAAAGAAAGAAACAGATAATAATCACAGCCTGTGGCTTACTGATGTAAAAACAATGTTCAGAAGTGATCCCTTAGACTTACCAGGGGATCACTGCATAAGGTATTAATGTCTAACCACTATGGTGTATAATATAATATTGACTGTCAACTGTAATTGAAAGAAAAAAATATTCAGAAGGTCAAAGAGCCAAATGAGCTGAGACTTACGGAAAGTGCAGAGGACAATGCAGGGACATTTAGTTAGGTTTGGATGAGGAAGATGATCAAGGAAAGATGGTCTTTAGAGGTAGTGATCCATAGTAAATCATCACTCAGTCAAAATGAGTATCTTTGCCCAGAGAAGGGAAGAGTCCACAGAAGGTGCGTGATCAATTTTGTGCTGAGTGGGAGTTTGTTCACAGAGAAGTTAGATGAGAACCATTCAAGCACAGGGGATAGCTTGTGCCAAACCGTGGAGGTATTGAGAAATCACTTGTTTGGAGAGTGACCCAGCTGTCCAGTGTGGCTGGAGGGCGGTATGCAGGAAGTCAAAACAGGGAACGAAAGGAGACCAGAGGTAGAAAGGTTTGGCTTAGGTACCCACATCTTGCTCAGTACTGTGCCTTTGTACTTTTTCTGGCTCTGCCCTGAATACTTCTTCTTGCACCCTCACCTTTGTGAAGATCATCATTTTCTTAGAGATACAGCCCAGACCTACTGTTCCCAGAATTTCTTAGCTGGGTTCATTCTTGTGTTTTGTATTCCACAGTGCATGTGGGGAATAGCTTAAACTTGACAGTTTTTTCATAGTCTTTAGTAATTTCTTAGGTGTTTGTCTTATGTATAGTTTAGCAATTAACAGCTTGGGCTTTGGATTTACATAGCTTTGTATCTAGATCCTTTAATTGTTACCTATTGAGCAAGTTCCTTTGCTTTCTAGGCCTCCTTTGTGCAGAGGGTCTGATAATATTACATAATATCTCAGAGGGCTGTTGTGCAGATAGACTGGGGTGATACACTTGAGGTCTTAGAACATTCATGGCACATAGTAAGCACTCAGTGTCAGCTGTTGTCATGGTTGTCTCCCTATGAAAGTTGCTCGAGGTTTTTGTAGTGTTTTCTGAAGAGTTGAAGTAAATAGATTAAAAACTAAAAGTGATCTCCTTTTCAGTGAAAGACTATTATTTGAGAGAACTTTTGTTATTCAAGTACTAATTTTATTAAGTCAACATGTACTATGTATCATAATGTAATTATGTTGTTTTACTCAGGAGAGATAATAGGTATGCATTATCTTTAAGATAAAGGGGGAAAAGGAAAGGAAAATATTAGAATATATCCTTAAGTCAGAACTAAGTTAAATAATTTTCTATAGCTAAATATTAGAATATATCCTTAAGTCAGAACTAAGTTAAATAATTTTCTATAGCTACTTTATGCACAGCACAGTTTTATTGTCATAAGTAAAGTTTTTAGTGGTTGATCCTAGGATACCAAAAAATTCTAGATCATTAGAAAATATTAAGTTACATAAAATATTGTAATCTCACCATCAACAAATATTCTTACATTATTGTTTTTATTTATTTATTTATTTATTTATTTTTTAATTGGGGAATTGGGGGAGGGGAACAGTGTTGGGGAATTGGAGAAGGGGACCAGCCAAGTTGTTGTTCTTCAATCTTAGTTGTAGAGGGCACCAGTCGCCATCTGGCTGCTAGTCAGCAGCTCATGGCCTGTAAGCTCAAGGTGCCGAGTTCAATCTTAGTTGTGGGTGGGCGTAGCCACCATCCCATGCCGGGGTTGAACTGACAGCCTTGTTGTTAAGAGCGCATGCTCTATCCACTGAGCCATCCGGGTAGCAGCTCAGCTCAAGGTGCTGAGTTCAGTCTTAATTGTGGGCAGGCGTAGCCCACCATCGAACAGGCAGCCTTGTTGTTACACCAGCTGAGCCATCCTGCCACCTGTTGGCAGCTCAGTGGCAGCTCAGCTCAGGCACAGCGTCACTGGCCCATGTGGGAATCGAACAGGTGGCCCTGTTGCTCAGAGCTAACGCTCTTAAGCTAACTCTTAACCAACTGAGCCGCTTGGCCAGCCCTGTTTTTATTTTTTTAAAGAGCTGTTTTGAGATATAATTCACATGCCATACAATCATCAACAAATATTTTTAATATTTTTGGTTGATATCATTAAGTATGCTATATGCTGTAAGTTTTTAGTCGATGTCCTTTACCGGGTTTGTCAGCTCCTTGTTTGCTAAGAGGCTTATTTATTTTTTAATCATAAACAAGTATTTAATTTTATTGAATGCTTTTTCCTACATTTATTAAATAAAATGATCATGTGTTGGTTCCCGCCCCCCTCTCCCCCTTTAGTCTATCAATGTGGTAAAGGCCATGAATCTTTTTCCAGTGTTAAAAAAACCTCGAGGGGTAAAAAGATAACTATTGCACTCTGTTGTACAGCTGAAACTAATTCTAAAAAATGTGTATTTCATAATAAAAAAATAAAAATAAATAAAAACAAAACAAAACCTGGCAACCCTGAGATAAGCCCAATTTTAAGTTTTTAAATCATCATCAGATTATTATTTGTCACCTTTTGTTTGTTTGTTTTTATTCATGATTGAGGTTGGTCTGTAATTTTCCCTTCCTGCATAGTTGACATTTATTGAGTTTCTGCTCTTTGTGCCACATTCTGTGATGTGACAAGTAGATTGTATTTATTTGACTCTGCATTGTTTTTGGTAGTAAATAGACATCCCACAGTGTACCCTTTTGAGTGATGTGATATTTTACCACATTATGAAGTTTTGTTACCAGTCAAGATTTTAAATTTTGGTTTAAATTCCTTAGGGATCAAGTCAGTTGATTTTATTTATTTGGGATCTTTGTTAAATTCTGAGTACAGTTGAGTCCTTTAAAAATCAGGTTATTGTTTAAAAATCGTTTCTTTGTGTTTAATGAACAGAAGCCGTCAAACGTTAAAAGTCAGAGAGCACAGTGTATTGGGACCCTATGTGGATGGACTTTCTAAATTGGCTGTCGCAAGCTATAAGGTAACAACATATCCGTTATGTAAACTAACTGAATTCAATGTAGCAGTTTTTTTGTTTAATTTGTGATAATTCTTTTTTTGAAATTAAGAAAAATTACAGTAGTATATCACTTAGCAAATCACTTTTTACAAAAAAATTTACTTAAAAAGCTGTATATGGCTGTCAGGACAGTTTAATTTTGAGAGAAGGTGTACATATTTGTGAGGCATACCTATTGATCTATTGTGAGATACATTTTTTCATATTTTGCAAGCTCTAAAATTGTGATGTGCTTTACAATTACATCTTAAAATGATTAATGGCAGCCTTTTTCTTCCCTAATACACAAATAATGAAGTTGCTTATGATTTAGTTGATTTAATGAAATAAAATATATGAGTTGAGTAGGTGGAATTGAAAGCCTGTTTCTAACTTGAGAGAGTCAATCATTGGCCTTTAGTTAGTTCTCTTCATTTTCAAACTTCACAGTTGTGCTTTGTGTGAATCCATCCGGCTTTGTGCATTGGGGAGATGGGGATGTGGTGACATGCTGTGATGTAATGTACATTGAATTACGAGTCAGAGAATGTTGATCTAGTGACATTTAATTAGATTCTGTGACTCCTGTATGATTCCAGATCATTTACTCTACCTCACCAAGCGTCTTTGTGCTAATTTTTAAATTGGAAATTAGTTTTTTGTTTTGTTTTTTTAAAAATTTTATTGGGGAATTGGGGAAGGAGAACAGCCAAGTTGTTCTTCAGTCTTAGTTGTGGAGGGCGCAGCTAGCTCAGCTCCAAGTCCAGTCGCCATCCAGCTGCCCATTGGCAGTTCGTAGCCGCTCAGCTCAAGGTGCCATGTTCAATCTTAGTTGCTGTTGGGCGTGGCTACCAATGCTGGAGTTGGAAATGGCAACTTTGTTGTTAGGAGCATGTGCTCTCACCAGGTGAGCCATCCTGCCACCTGTTGGCAGCTCAGCGACAGCTCAGCTCGGGCACAGCTCACTGACCCATGTGGGAATCGAACTGGCAACCCTGTTGCTCATAGCTCACGTTCTTAACCAACTGAGCCACTCTGCCGGCCCCAATGGAAATTAGTTTTATTGTCTTGATTATCTTATGAGATAGGTTCATTTGTTCATTAATTAATTCTATCATTTGGTCAATGATACTTCATTTAGCAAATGGTAGTTACTTCATTTAGTAAACACCTATTGGACACCTGTCATGTGCCAGACATTGTGCTAGGTGCTGGGGATATAAAAAATGAATGAAATGGTTCATTACCTCAAGATGCTTACAGATGTTACAAAAGTATTATAAAACAACATAGTTTTAAGTACAGTGATAGATGCATGTTCAGGATTCATTATAGTTTGGATATGTAGGTATCTAGGGTCGTTGGTGTCTGGGAAGACTTCCTGGAGATCAAATGGGATAATACATGTGAAAAGTCTTTGAAAACTCTAGAATACTTATATAAATGTTAGGTAGTGTTGGTATTTTAATGACCATTTGAGAGTATATTTATGCAACATTGGAGAGAGATCAAGATATTTCTGAGAACACAGAGGAGATTGGAAAGTATAAAAAAACATTTTGCTTGTTTAAAAAATTAAAAGGCTTAATTAATACATAGTTCATGCATGAGACAACAGATTAGAGACCAGTGAATAAATGTAGGCTAAATAGGCGAAAGCTTTTACATTAAGCCTCAGGATTGTCAGATTTAATGGGTCTAAAATGGATTTAGAATGGATATAGAAAATTGTGATTTTTACCATTTGTATTATTGTTTTTCCATTCTGGTGCCTGTTTATGTCTCTTTTTGTAGCTAGTGTTTTTACTTTGAGGCACTTTATTTATCATGTTAAATTTTTCCTTAAACATTCTTCTTCATTTTATACAGCAAAATAGAACCTTATAATTTTCAAAGTTTTTTATGTGTGTCAGGATTGTTTGGCTTCATATAAGAAAAAAAAATAACAGGACTTAAGTTCTTTGAAATATGAATTATCTGTTTTGATCATTGTGTATCCTCCATATCTTAAAATGTACCTGGCACATAGTAGGTGCTTTCAATATATATTTGAGTGAACGAATGAATGAAAGAATAAATGGTGAGAGGTCTGGTATGGTGACCCAAAGATGCTAGATTCCTGCTAGCTCCATGGTAATGCCTTTATTCTCATGGTTCAAGATGGCTTTTAGAAGCAAGATGTGATAGCATGCCTACTCCCTTTAAGAAGAATTCCCAGTGACTAGTATTCTACTTAACCTCTCATTCGCTTAGTCATATGGCCGGACTGAGCTGCAGGGGCGTCTGGGAAATATCGTCCCTTAACTCTGCTGTAATGTGCTCATTGAAAGATTGAATTCCTCTACTAGAAAGAGGAGAAGACTGGATAAAAGGAGGCAACTAGGACTCTTTCACACATATCATCTTTCTTGTCATTAAAATCCTTGTAAGGTAGATGATGTTATAGCTCTGTACTGTTGTTTATGAAACTAAAATTCAGATTGGTTATGTAACTGTTTTAGAGCTTACAACATTTTAAAAAATGAGGATCCTATAATCTTTCTGTATTGCATCATGCTGTTGCTGTTTTAGCAGTAATGGCAACCAAGTAGTAAATCTGTGCACAAAGTTAGTCTCTTGATGTTTTCATTTTTAGAAACAGGTCTGGTAAGATACACTCCAAGGTGGTGATGCAATGTTCTGCCTCCATGAAGGGGTTACAGATTATTTTTGTTTGTTGCTTATTCATGTAACCTAACTTGATTTAACAGTTAACTTCAATTGCTTCTATAATTAAAGAAACTAAATTTTTTCAAATTTCTAGAGTAGATAAGGAATGGCATGGCATATTTGTCCATCTTCTGAGCCTCAACATGTAGCATCTAAACTTTTCTAACTCTCAGTCAAAGCTGCTACTTTATTCTACACATACAGAAAATAATGTCTTTTATTTGAGTTTTCATAGATAGTATTGGCTGTTGTACTCTGTGGGGCTTAGTATTCATTGAAAAACAAAGTGTGAACGTCAAGTATGGTTGACTAAGTAGTGAAACTTTAATGAATTTTTGTTGTATAGAAGAATTTTAATATTAATAATTTTACTATTAATAATAATAAGCCACATATCAAAATGTGTGTCCATGACTTGTTTTCACTTAGGACATTGAGTCTTTGATGTCGGAGGGTAACAAATCTCGCACCGTTGCTGCCACCAACATGAATGAGGAGAGCAGTCGGTCCCATGCGGTCTTCAAAATTACCCTCACACACACTTTGTATGATGTGAAGTCTGGGGTAGGTGTTCAGTGTTCAGATGCATGACTTTTTTTTTTTAAGTGGGTCATGGTTTATCTTACTCCCTTCAGGTGTTAGGTGACATAAAGCCCCAGCCAGACAGGTGTATCAATTAGGACACAGGACAAGAAACAAGCCAGTTTGGGTAAACAGAAAGGGATTTAAAAGAGGGATTTGGGTGATTACAGAGTTGCTGGAACACTCGAGGAGGAGTGGGCTCTAGATTGAATCTCTAGGAATAACTCCCCATAACCATGCAGATCTTACCAACCAGGATGCTGCTACTGCTGCGGTGTGAGCTGAAAGTCCCAGGCACACCCCGTAGCTGGGATCCAGGACGCAGAGGTGGGCGCAGTTGCCTATTCGCACCTTGGAAGCTGCAGAGAGTATGCTGGGACACTTGTAGAAAACCTCCTACTCGGCAGCAGAAAAACCCAAAAAGGGTTAAAAGGATGGCCTCTGCTTTACTTCTGCTTTCCACATCTTAAGCAAGTGTACCTGATTGACAGAACCTAAGTCACATCCTGAACCCTGGCCTGTGAGGGAGCCTGAGAAACTAAAGGAAGGTGGAACAAAACTTATGCAAGCTGATGGTCCAGGGTCTCTGCCACAGCGTTTCTTGAGCTTTAAACTATGATGGCTAATGGTATATGCTAATGTTAATAGTCTGACTGATGCAGTGGAGATACTTTTGAAATATTACTTTCTGCTAAGCAGCTAAGTATTAGAAGAATAAATTGCACTGGGGAAATAGTACTAGACATTTGCCAGATTTATAGAATAGTTTTTTGAGTATTCGGTTTTGAAGCTTATAAGAGTAAACAGCTAGAGATGTATATGCTTGTACACACTGAAAACTTCTCTGTTGAGTCATACATTTATATTTTCTTCTTACTTGTAATACGAACTTTGCGTATTTTATTTTGATGCCTACCCCCAGTGAATCATTTTCAAATACCAGAAGCTAAAATAATCACCCTGGCAAAGTTTTATATTTTGGCAAGATTTTCATTTGCTGAAAGCATATTTTTCTTCTTTTACCATCACAGCAAGATTAGTGTAAAGACAAAAAGTTCTTTGTTTCCTATTTCCTTTTCAGCATAAAACAAAAAACATACTAAAGGCTTTTTTTAAAAACCAAATGTACTTTTCATTTGGAAAACTGAATATCCTCTTGTTAGGAACATGTTTATTTATGGAAAAAATTATAAATGTATATTTTAAAGGAAAGATTTAAAAATTGATCCAGTCTATAGACTTAGCATTGTTTTCTCACATTTCTTATATTGCTGCTGAGGTATAAAATACGTTAGATGTTACGGAACATTTTGATAAAGGAAAATATCAGTGTATATATAATATCTTAATTAGAAAAATATATAAATTTAATACTTGGAATTGTGAAATAAGGGAATTGTATATGGATAATATGAAAAATTTTAGAAGGTGTTAAGTTTTTGAGGGATCCTTCTATTATATAAAAGTTAGATTAATAGTTTTTTACATCAGTAAGAATTGCAAATATTTTCCCCTTAGAATTATTGGTAAATATTTATGAAGTTTTAAGCATAGTTTCAAATTCTATTAAAATCTATATCTTATAAGTGTTTTTGTATACTCCCCTCTGAAAATTTTATTGGGTTCCTTTCAAAATGTCCCATTTTGGGAGGCACTGTGTTTCTGAGATAACTTTCACTCTCTGGATTAGTAGAGGTGTGTATAATTTTATATCTACAGTTTTGTATCTATATTGTACAGTTTTCTTATACTGTTCTATAGCAGCACAAACTCATTTTGAAATAACAGTAAATAACTCCTTAATAAAGAGTTTCCATAATAAACTCATTCCATAGAGACAGTATTGCTTTTTGTATTCTTTAACTGTGTATTAGTATTTATCAATTTACTTTCTAGACATCTGGAGAGAAAGTGGGCAAACTGAGCTTGGTTGATTTAGCTGGCAGTGAGCGAGCCACAAAAACTGGAGCTGCTGGTGACAGGCTGAAGGAGGGGAGCAACATCAACAAGTAAGTTTTTCAGAAGCTCGCTTTTATTGCTTTCTTGATTAATAGCCATATAGGCGAACTTCTGTGGTTATTTAAAGAATAAGATTCTGGACAGATTAAGGGTATAATGAACAATAGCTTAGAATTTTTTTCAGATGTGTATATTTTTATGGGCCTGAGCCTATTTTATGTTTTGATGAGATGTCTGATGGGCCTGAGAGGACAGACTCAGTCAAGTCAGAGGTTTCTCAAGAGCAGCCTCATTGAGATTTGGGGCCTGGCAATTCTTTGTCTCTGGGAGTGGTCCTGGGCATTCTATGTTTTGTGGCATCCCTGGCCTCTACCCACTAGGTGGCGGTAGTATCTGCCACCTCTCTCCCCCACCCTCAGTTGTGACAACCCGAATTGTCTCCAGACATTGCTAGCTGAGAACCACTGGTTGAAGCTACAGAAAAGAACAAAGATAATCAGTCTTTCAGAGTCTATCTGTTGATCTTGACCTGGGTGTCGCTGTCTGAACAAACAACATGGATACTAGCCATATCCGGCTTTCCCTTTACAGCTGTTATGGTGCTTATTTATTCCAAGAAGCTAGGGCTTTATGAAGTAATGTTCTGTTCACCAATTCCTTCATATAGTTATATTTTCTTCCTCAAGCTAAATTATTAGCTCCTGTGGTCAGGGATCTTTTCTACCCTGGGGCCTCCAGAAGCACACATAGTGAGATAACAAGTCATCGGTAACCAACTGGAGATCACAGAACACCATTATCCACATGCTATTCTATTACTGAATCATTTTTTTTTACCTTGTATTATGTTTTAATTAAATTATTGTTTTTGTGACTTCCTTTCTTAAAGATATGTGGTGTTTGTGTCAATATCTTCACCCAGGGGTTTATGGCTCACATTTTTATTTACAAAAAGGAAAAAAAAATACTGAGCTAAGCATTTTTATTGCTTACAGTAGTATTAGGAGGGATAGCAGCTTTTAGAGTTCATGTGTTTTTAAACAGAGCAGCAAAATGCTGACATCAGTGCTGTTTTCATGGAGGTACAAAGGCATCTTGATGTTTCAGTCTTTGTGCTGAAACGTGACATTTGATATACTCAGTTTTTTATGATCATTACGGTTTGTTGCATCATGCAGGTCCCTCACAACCCTCGGTCTGGTTATCTCAGCCCTAGCAGATCAGAGTGCTGGCAAAAACAAGAATAAATTTGTTCCATATCGTGACTCAGTTCTCACTTGGCTGCTCAAAGTAAGTTATTTTTTCCCCTGTCCTCTTGGTGGTTGGCAACAGGAAGAATAGCGAGTAGAATATTAGTCCTTCCCAATAATCATCTCCTCCATCAGTGTTCAAATTTATAATCATTAGGCTCTTATATGATAATCCTAATTCTGATTGATTAAGCATAGGTTTCTTCCTAATTCACCAGAAACTGGAAGTAGTGGGAGTTTGGGGCACACACTATCGCACAGTTGCCTCTGAGATTTTTAGGGAATAGAAAAATGACCTAGTGCTAATCTAATAGCTGTGTGAATCATAGAGGAGTTTCCACTGTCTTACTGATGCCGCTGGACAGCTGTCTTTCTCACAGATTCCTTTTGTTTGACTAGCATTTTGGACCTTATTTTTTTTATTTAACTTCAAGACTACTCATGATCATTGTAATTTGCTTTCAGCTTTTTATAGTTGTTAAGATACAGAGTAGATCACATAGTCATTCATTGGTTGATTCGGTGTGAATGAGAGAAATGCAAATGGGAAAGAAAAATATAAACTGTGTGAAGGGTTGTGAAGAGAACATAAAGAAATGTAAGACATTCTTCACCCTCTTAATTGCTCAGAGTCTAGGAAGGGAGATACGATAGTTACACAGAATGTTATGACATGAGTTAGCGATTCCATGGGAGCGGTAGTAATGACGTATAATAGGAGTTGGGGACAAAGAGGGACTATTTCCAGGTTTCTTCTAGTCTTCAAGGTTCCCTGTAGTCTTGGTGAATTGGATATTGGTCTGGGAGAGGATATAAAATCTAGTGATAGTTTAACTCCTTACAGAGTGGCCACCCTGGAACGAAATATTTTCCTGATAACTCTTTTCTATTTTTTTAAATGGAGAAATAATTTTACGAGCCCCATTTAGTCTTGTGAGGGCTTTTTCCTCATTGATGAAGAATGCATTGGACACCTGTTACTCACTGTGCTGAGGGTTGAGAATATAAAGATGAGTTAAGCACAAGCCCTGAAGTAGCTTGGTGCTTCCACTTCCCAACTTTGACTTAGTCCACGACTTATTTAGAGAACTGTGTTTGCAGAGGGAATAGGATTTTCTTCTAGTTTATACACCCTCTCAAAGGGTTACTAATGTTCAAGTTTACTTTCTAATACTGCACACCATTTGAACATTCTTTATTAAATGCAATTTGACCAAAATGCAGTAAAATTGAAATTTAAAACAAAAGGATAAACAAACAAAATTTCATAATTAAAAACCACTTCAAATAACTCTTGAATTAAAGGGATATTACAAAACATTTCACTACCAAGGAAATAATTGTACTGGTCTTCATGTGTTGATAATTAACCTTAAAGTCTCATTTTTTTAATTTCCAGAAGAAATCTTAATAAGATACTTATTTCCTCCTCACTTTCCACAGAAACATTTCCTGATCATTCATGAGTATTCCCTGGATATGCCTGATTTAAAAACCAGACTATTCATTGTCCTATTGTTTCAGTGTTGCTACTGCATTTAAATCAACAATGGGAAATACCTTTTGTTAAATTAATTGACATAGTTAAAATGGCCTAGGTAATCATTATTCAGTAGCCATTCCATAGACTAAAGGCCAGGAGAACTTGTTTGAGGTGAATCTGGTACCATGCTAAGTGCTTCATGTACATTATCTTATTTACTCCTTGGAAGGTAAATGATTGTGTTCCCATTTTACAGATGAGGAAATGGAGGCAGAAACAAAATTGGAAGCCAGGGCTGGCTTCGCTGCCATCTTCTTTTGCCTAGGCTCTTATCAAAGGCTACTTTTCATTAGAAGGAGAAGCACTTGACTGTTACCAAACATTGATAGAAACTATTAAAAATACTTCAACTTGAACAAAACTAAGCGCTTTTTAAAAAAAGTTCACTTTATCTTCTGTTTAGTATAATTAGGTTATAATTGTAACTTTTATATGTTAATTCTTAGGGTGCAAAAATGAATACTTTCTTTGATTTTTGTCATTTTTTTTCCTTAAAAACTGTATGACTTTCTTTATCATGTTTGACCTTTGCAGCAAGTTTATAAGTAGGAGCATTTTTGCAAAACATATTTCAGGGTTTAAACAGTTGTACCAAAGGCCCTTGGAATCCCCTTGGATACGCAAATCATTTTTCTTTGAAGTGAATTTTATGTCCCTGTTAGTTTTTCCTTCTTTAGTCCTTAATTAGCCTAACTCCCTAATCCTTGTCTGACTTGGTATGATTCTGGTATTCCCCAACGTAACTTAAATAGAACTCATAAAATTGCTCATCTTTTATAAGATTTGCAATTCCTTTTAAAAGTTTTTTTTTTGCATTGTATGTGCTTGATAATTATGTTTTGCTCTTGATGTTTATAACATCTGAGAGTTGGAGAAACGTCGATACACTTAGTGGGGTATAGATTTGAGTGCTCTTCTCTCAGGGAGGGTTGAGTGGTCAGTGGAGAACTATTTCGTATTAAGATGATTTTTGCCTCCCTGTGTAACCTTCTAAAAACATGGGTCTCTTAACATCAAATAACTTCTGGTAACAGATGCTCCGATAATAATTATCTTTTGAATTCATCCACTTTCCCCTATTCTTATTGCCAGTCACATAATGAAGGCAACTTTCATCTCTTGCCTGGATGATTGAAACCTCTCCCTCGAGCTTTCTTAGTCCATTCCATTCTTTACAGTTAGGTTGCAATAGCTTTCTAAATTAATACTCTTCATGAACTTCAATCTCTTTAGTAACTCTCCAGGAGCCTTCATGATGAGGTCCAAATTTTTTAATGACTTGTAGTTTACTAGGCCCTTTGTAATCAGCCCCCTCCCTACTTCTCATTGTTCATCTTTTGCTCTTGGTATCCAGAGTTCTAGCTAAGAGGCTCTGTTTGGAACATTCTTCCTCCTCTCTTCAATCTCCTCCTCCTCCCCTCCTCCTCCCCTTTACTTGGGTAATGCTTATTCATGTTAAGGTCTCAGATGTCACTTTCTTTGGGAGTCTTCCCTAACTTTTCAAGACTGGTCTTTTGCTCTGTTGTGCAAACATTTTGCTTTGTTGTTAAACATTGTGTTTACCCCTACGTTAGTTCTTATCATAAAATATTTGCTAATCAGCTTCACCCTCTGGTAAACTCCATGAGGAGTTGAATGAATGAATAATTTTAGTTCTGCTCTGAACTAGCATTATGACCTTTGGTAAGCGTCAGTCTTCCTGGGCCTCAATTTCTCTGTCTGTAAAATGAAATAATTTGATTAAATGGCTTCAAAGTGTTCTTTCAGCTTTAAAAAATTCTGACTTCCCCAAATTAAATTTCTTTTCCTAAGTCCATTTAATTTGCAGTTGCTACATTACAAACAAAGCTCTATGATTTGCCTAATTAAACAATTAAAGAATAAACAAGAAGCTTTATACTTTCCCCTTGAATGAGTGCCAGGTCTTTTGTTGCCATTTCCTTTTTGCTAATGGCTGGAGGCCATTTTTGAATACAAGCATACTGTTGTTGCTCCCGCACAAGGGCTTTTAACATATCAAGTATTTGTTATTTGCCAGGTTTCCTTTTCTCAGCACAAATTGAAGCACAATGTGTATGCTTTTCTCCTTTGGTACTTATTGTTACATGTCCCCCTCTACCCGGTAGCATTTGCTGCTCACGTAGGCTCACAGAATGCAGTGGTTCTTGAAGGGCAGCACTCCACCGCCCTGCTGCTGGCGAACTGAATTGCAATCTGAGATGTAATTCCTCTGATCTTTATATGTGACACTGGAATTTCATTAATGTGCATGGGATTCTCCTTGACATTTTCCTGGAAGTTGCCAAAACTGGGCACCAACAATGCGAGATCAGTGTCTACAAGTAAAGAGAGAAGCGAGCAGTCATACAGCCTTTACAGAAATCACGTTTGCTTCCTAAAGCTCAGATCACTTATATTTCCTTACCTTTCATGCGTTAAAGTATATTTTCTTCAAAGATACATTAGCTCTGTTTTCAGTAATGGATAATAAATGGACATATTGTCTGTGATTATATGGAACTGTTAGGGAATTATTTTGTTTCTGGCACTCGGCTCACTTATTCCTCAGGTCTGAACTCTGTATTGCCAAGTGTTGTTTTGTTACTGTGTTACTGTGGGTAGCTGTGGGGGAAAACAAAATACAACTAGACTAAAATACTGTTCAGTTTACTAGTGCTGGATCTTTAGGCAGGGTATTTAGCTTCCTTTGTCAGAACAAACCTGTTTTTTCGTCAGTAAAATGCCGACACTGATAATCCAATTTCCAAAAGGTTGAGGACTAAGTAAAGTCTATGCACAAAGATTGTATAAATCAAGATTGCTCGAACTAATTTTAGATATATTGAGGTTGGAAAAAGTTAGTATCTTCAAAAGTAAGAATTTTATATTGGTTAATATTGGCGTTCTTGTAACTTAGTGAGTTCCCTATTACTGGCCTGTTTGAGTAGTCTCTCTAATCCTGAGTATCTATAATTCAGCCATATTCTATTACTGAAAGAGGGTACTTAATCTATTCTTTGGGGTAGTTCCACTCGTCCTGAGATGGTATATTTTAGTGTATTAGTAGTTATATATTGCTATGCAACAGATTACCCCTAAACCTTAACAGCTGGAAATGACAGTCATTTATTATCTCACAGCTTCTAAGGGTCAGGATTCTGGGTGTGGCCTAACTAAGTGGTTCCTGCTGGGGTGTTTCATGGGCTGCCATCAAAGTGTCTGCAGGGGCTGCAGCCATCGCAAGGCTTATGGGGTCGGATTTGCTCACCTAAGTGGTTGTTGGCAGGCTTCAGAAGATCTGTTTCCAAGCTCACTCCTGTGGTCCCTCATGGCAGTGGTTTCCCCCAGAGTGAGAGAAAATACCATGACAGTAGCCACAGTCTTTTTATAATCTAATCTCAGAAGTGACATGCTGTCACTTCTGTATTCTATTCCTTAGGGGCAAATCAACAAGGCCTGCAGACATTCAAGAGAAGGGGATGATATAGGGGCTTGACTACCAGGAGGTGGGGGATCACTGGGGGCCATCTGAGAGGCTGCCTGCCAAAGTCCTTGGACGATGAAGTGGAATGGGGGTAGATTAATTTCCCAAGTCTAGTTGTATAATTCTGAGTTATATCTAGTTATTTTTAATGTTCTCAAGTCAAGTAGCATTTTGAATTTGTTGGAGCCCGTTCTAAAGCTCATTTCCCTGTACTAACCAGTTTTAGTATGAAGGCGAGTAACTTTTTTTCAGCGCCCGCCTCTGGACTGTAGAAGTGATTGTGTGGAACATGAAGCCTGTGTTTGTTTTTGAAGTGCTATCGGAGGGAATAAAATGAAGTTCCTTCAATGTACCTTTTGTTTTCTAAGACTGTAATTATATCTTTGTTTTTAAAGAATTTACAAGGTGCTTGATACCTTGTAACAATAACACTTTCTGAGCCATTATTTAGGCTTCTCAGAGAGTCCAGGTACATGGTGTTATAGATTCTAGGTAATTACTCTTTGATCAGATAACAACTAATATCACAATTTTTCAGTTCCTCTAAGGAAAATTTTATAAGCACTTAAGAAATCATTCTTTTTTATCCTGCATAGTCTGACTTACCATATCACGTTGCCTGTTAAAAGAGCACAAATTGACTTAGAATTAATTTTTATTAGACTAAAATAAATGTAGAACTTCATTGTATTTTCCTGTCCTTTCTCAAAAGCCAACCTTCCCTTTTACACAAGTATCTTGGCAGAGAAGAAAGAGCGTGGGACTAGGAGTCAGTATTCCTGTATTTTAGTCCTGATTTGGTCCTTAAATATCTGTTTGATCTTGGGATGTTACCTCATCATTTCTAACTTCAGCTTTCTCGTATAATATTTCCTTCCAACTTTAAATTGCTGCTCAATTTCTCTTCTCCTCTAGGACAGCCTTGGGGGTAACAGTAAGACTGCCATGGTGGCTACTGTGAGTCCGGCAGCTGATAACTATGATGAAACCCTTTCAACTCTGCGGTATGCAGATCGCGCCAAGAACATTGTGAACCACGCAGTGGTGAATGAAGACCCTAATGCACGAATTATCCGGGATCTCCGGGAAGAAGTCGAAAAACTCCGAGAGCAGCTGACCAAAGCAGAGGTATATATAAGGCTCAGCTGAGTGATGCTTTATGGGTCTAGGAAACTCTGGTAAAGCTAGACCTTAAATTTTCTTCCCCTTAGCCATAAGTGATGAGTACTCCACTCAGAATTTTTGAATTTCCTATAGGAAGAGAAATTGAGATGAGTAATAAATAAAGGAAGAAAGAATGTCATAGTGGAAATGTAGAGAGAGTTTTTACAGGTGTTTAAGTATTGAATAAGAGGAGAGAATAAAGGGAATTGAGAGGATGTTTCTTTCCACAGTGTAGGGCAGCAGACAAGAGAGAAGAGGTATAATAGAATAAGGGAGAGAAAGAGAGAGACCCTTGAAACAAAATGTATGTAATTTAATTTTAGTACAGAAAATGGTGGAGAGTGCGTATAGACTAATTGGAAGAGGAATCAAACAGGTTTTTGTTGTATCATTTATTCACTGGTTGAAGTCAGAATGGAAATCTTCAGGTCTTTCACACCATAACAACCCAGTTTTTCCATGATGTGGGTTAATTATGTTTGTAGGAAAAATATTTTATAGCACAAGTACCCACTATTTAGTGGTGCTCTATTTCCACTATTTTTTGAACACCCTGTAATGTATGGTGTTTATGTTCCATTACTGAATTTGAAACTTATACAATTCTATAACCGAATGTTCACCCTGTTGTAAAAAGAGGAATAAAATATCAGTTTTGGGATTCCTACTTTCATTAGCCATTCTATTCCCACTATTTCCCAGCACTGTGGGACGCTTTCCTGGGGCTGGGACCGTAGCCCTCTTTGGCATAACGTTTTCTGGTGGTAAATGGGTAAGATGCATGGTCATGGTTGTCTTGACCGTATTTTTGCCTGTTGAATCTTATCCTGTTTTTATAGGAATTTTACAATTCATCAAGATTCTTTGAAATTTTGTTTCTGTGTTCCTGTTATTAAGAACATCATCCAGTTTGTAACACATGCACATTTAGTCCATATGTATTTGAATAAATACCTAAAGTCATCAATAAAGACGAGAATGAATGATATGAAGGAGTCTAGACATATGACCTATTGGGATTTTAAACATAAGCCCTTGATAGCTTGAACTATCTCCTTAAATGTGAGTAGATCTTTACAATAACAATAGGTTGGAGGAAAAGGAAAAAGTTAAGTCTTCTTTTCAAACCCATGTTAGATAACTGTATGAGTTTGTGGGACCCACGCAGTCCGGATACTGTGCGTCAGTGACAGTCAGTTATGTCTTAGGTGGATCAGAGACCTCAGCGAGCCTGAGAACCAAGAGGAGGCACATTGTAACTTTCGTCCTTCTGGATTTATCTAGTTCTTTTTTCAGGTCATTGTACAGACATTTCATGAAATAAACATTTTGCTTATAGGCAATGAAATCTCCAGAGCTAAATGACCGGCTGGAAGAGTCAGAGAAGCTAATCCAGGAAATGACCGTGACCTGGGAGGAGAAATTAAGGAAAACTGAGGAGATTGCCCAGGTTTGTGCTTCCTGATTAAAGAGAGAAACCTTGTGGTAGTTTGTGCAGTGGAACTCTTACGGTGTTTCTGGTTCTTTTTTGATTTTCAGCTTTGAAGATGGCAAATCTAGCACCATTAATAAGGATCTAGATCCAGGACTTTATACTTGACAAAGTTAACTTGAAGGATAAAATAAGACATAATTATGATTAATTGTTAATTATGTAAGAAATAATTTTTTAGGGTCGTAAAATTTTTTTTTAATGAAATAACTATTTTGTAGCCTCTGGCTCTGAACACCCAATTCTGTTAAGTGCTTCGTAGACCTAAGGAACTTTCCCAAACCACAGAATTATTATTAGTAGATATTTGACTATGCAATTCTTGCTTCCACATGACAATTCAGTAAAAGTAATATGAAATACCTAAATCTGAGGTGACCATCTCTCATTTTTAGAACACTTAATATAGAGTTGTTAAATCTTATGGTGTGAACATCAACTTTTGGAGAGAATCCTAAAACGTCCAACTGTCTCCATAGTAAAAGACTTACACAGTGGCTTTCAACCTGTTTTAGAAACATGTGTGGTAATGTGGAGCTCGGTACCCCGTCAAGCAGCCTTCTCATAATTGGACAACTCGAATAGTAGCTGGTTGATGGAAATCTTTCATTCTTTCATTTCTGCTCATTGGCCTTAGTTTATTCTTCCTAAGCTAAGAGAATAAGTGTCCCACTTGTATGCAGTAACTAACAAAAACAATAATAGCCAATATTTATTGGATACACATATGTGTTGGGCCCTATGCTAAGCACTTTTAAATACAGTATTTTATTTAATCCTCCCAATAGCCCCATGAGACTATTATTACCCAGGTTTTTGAAGTCACAGATGTCTCTTCCCTTCCTTTTCTAAAGTTACAAATATCTAATGTTTTCAATTGTCCCCTGTATTAGCGAATATGTAGAACTTGCTACTTCTTTTGTCACCTGGTAGATTCCATCTTTAAGCATGTTTTCCAGAACCAATCTATACATCAGATGTTGTAGGACAGTACTACTATTATGTAGCATAAAGTGGATGTTATTACCGGGGGTGCCAAAAATATATCTGCAAGTGGACACTTTGGTCAACGTTGTTCAAGCAGTAGTTCACTGTAATCAGAAGTGTCTGGACGCTGTAACCACTTGGAGCACCTCTTGTAATTGCAGAAGTCAAATGTGACTTATATTCTCATCTTTTGTATCAGTATATATTGAGTATTATACTTTTAATACAGTTTTCCTTTCTTAATATGTGTATACATTTTTTTGGCACCCTCTATATTAGTGCAGACAAGGATTGAAGTAGATTTTTAAACACTAATTATAGCCAATTTCAAAATTGATAAGAGGAGTATAACCACATGCACCCAATCATCACCCGGTTTCATTAAAGATCAACATATGACCAATCTTGTTTTTTCTGTATCCCTGCACTGGGTTGTTTTAAAGCATATCCCTCAAATTACAGAGAAGAGAATGTACCAGTATATAAACTTTATTTCTCGGTACATATTTCACGTTCTGTTTTTCATAAATGATAAGCCGTTCTCCTAGTTGTCCAATTGGTAACTAATTGGTGTGAGCCTTTTGGAGCTACTCCAGAGGTAAAACATTGACTTTGAAGTGCTCTTGTACGTAGGTGCTTTGCTGATACACAGCAGGGTAGGTCTCAGTGAGCTTGCAGTGCTAGTGAATCTTATCTTTAGCATCTTTCCTTACCTAACTGTTCTCTCTCTTTCTCACATGTCCATTTTGGGGACTCTGCCTGATATGATCTGACACCTCATTCAGCACCTTATCTTTCCAAGCCCCCGGGCTTCAGTGCTGCTGAGCTTTTTTCGCCTCTCTGGTCAGAAAGACTTGGTCTGTTGACAAATAGACTAGCATTGCCCAAAATGTATTTCTGGCAGTATGGCCAGAAATTGTTAAGAAAGTCTTCTGGGGGGGAAAAAAATGGTTCATGGTCAGATAACTTTGGGAACATTTGGGTGAACTACGTTAAATGGATTACTTTTTAAAGGACTTTTCATAATACTTTTGGGGGTCTATTTGAAGTCATGCAGGCTCTCGTAAGTCTTCCATGCTCTGTGGCATCTTCCTCTAGTAGGCCAGCCCCCCACAGACCATCCCTGCCATTGAATTCCTGTGGAAACTATCTGTACCCTTTTCACCCTTAAGTTATGCAATACTTTACTGTTGTTCAATTTTTCATGTATAATTTTATTACTTAATGAGTGTAAGAGCCTCAAGAAAAAAGACCATATCTTTTTGGGGTTTTTTTAAGTGTGTTCCAATAATATTTTCAAGTAAATGAACAGAACTCAAGTTGATTAATTTCTAAGCCCCGTGCCATATCTACAATACCAAATTGTCTCATCTTTTCATCTTTTCTATTCTCATTGAGAAACACACTGAAGTGAAATCAAACCCTTGACGTGGATCAGGGTTCCGCAGATATGCCCTTGGGCAAAACCTGATCTGCCACTTTCTTTTCTTTTTTTCTTTTAATTTGAATTTATTGGGGTAACAATGGTTAGTAAAATTACATTGGTTTCAAGTGTACAATTCTGTAATACATCATCTATATATCACCTTGTGTGTTCACCACCCAGAGTCAGGTATTATCAACAAGACAAATAATACATGTCGGAGAGGCGGTCTGCCTCTTTCAATCTTATCATTGTTTCCATAGTGAGAATTATGAGAGTCATAATAAGAGTATAAGTAGAAGAAACTATTGTATTACAAAACTAGTATTTACTTATAGAAAATATAGAAAGTTTATTACAAAGAAAATTTATTGGGTTGTTGTAAAAGTGATGACGCATTTTTGCAACGAAAAACATAGAAAAAATATGTCATGACTTTCCCGACAACCTAATATATTAACTAGGATCCCATCATCCAGAAAAAAAACCCACTGTTAGTATCTTTGTGCTTTTTTCCAGGTTTTTCAGTGCACAAATTGACATACTAATTTATACTCTGTGTTTTTCATTTAATATTACTTCATGAGCTAGTTTACAAAAAAAAGACATTTTCATAGAGAAATGTTTCTTCTCATTGGAATAATTCTTTAATTACCTATCAAAATTCCTATGTAAAAGAGCCTTCCTTCAGAAAGAACTACCCAAAACATGTCAGTTGCTGTCCTTATTTTAGGAACATGGTTCTTTATCAAGGATAATCATTTCTTAGAACTGAGTGCTTGAAAACTCTAATGTGTAGTGCTAAAATACTCAAAACTTCTGAAGGAACCCAATAGTGTTTTTTGTTAGAAAAAAGACTTGATTCAAATACCCAGAACCAAAATATCCCCTTCCCTACATTTATAATACTATACTTCTATATGCGATGTATTGACTGATGTAGTGATCGTATATATTAGGGTGTTATAGAAATAGCAAAATTCTAAGGCTGTCATTGAATTATACTGCAGATTTACTGTGTGGCTGTAGTTAAATGACTCAGCATGTCTTGTCTTTCCCCAGAATCAAAGGACTTTGGTGGCTGTAACTCATTCCTACTTGCTGTTTGTACATAGTCAGACACCCTGTTCTGCCCCAATTTATACCTTAATCATAGAGCATCAGTTGCAGGGTTTATACATATCCCCCTATATGCATGCATTCATATATGGTGTGGATTCAGAGATAGTAGACACAAAAAAGAGAGGTTCATATCCTTATGAAAATAGTACTTGAATGCATATGCAAGTTTTATTTTGATAAATTTATAAGACTGATGTTTTGAGTGCTCACTGTATCTTATGCATTGTGTTAAGTGCCAGGAGTACACAGTGGGTAGAGAGGGTCCATTTCCTCATAGAGAAAAGGGCAAGTAAATAGTTACTGAATGTGAAAACAAGTATGCTCCAATAGAAAAAGCAGGAGTAAAATCTTGAACAGGAGAGCAATCTTGACACTTTGAGCGACCTGGAAGATGTTTCATGTAACTGCAGTACAGGCCTTGAGAGCAGGCATGACAAGATGTGATGATAGGGAGTAAATGGGCCAGATTGAAGGGCCCTGTGGACTTCGTGGAGGGAGTTTGACCTTTATCCAGGCTGGGAAGTCACTGAGGATGTCAAGCAGAAGAGTGTACTGAAAACTGGGCTTTTTAGAAACATCACAGTTGAGTAAAACACACTTTCATTTCCTCATATATACAGAGTTAAATGAAAAAGATGAATTCAAGATGTTAGATATTTTCAAGACTAAAAATGGAGAACTTGATAGTATACTTGGTTGCTATTTGGAATGGCTTTATTTTTCAAAATAAAAAAGTTTTAATTTAAATAAAATTATATAGTTTGGAAAGAGAAAAAAAATGCAATAACCTGTAATATCGTGTTCAGAGCTAACATATTTGAATTATGAAGTTATTTAATAATTACTCTAACATAAGATCTTTTATATCTCACTGCTTCAACAGCTGTGGAATTAATACTTCTTTATACATTTACAGGAGCGACAGAAACAACTTGAGAGTCTTGGAATATCCCTTCAATCTTCTGGAATTAAAGTTGGGGATGATAAATGCTTCCTTGTTAATCTGAATGCTGATCCTGCTCTCAATGAACTTCTGGTTTACTATTTAAAGGTGAAGTAACAAACAGGCTTTGCTACTATTTCCTGCCATGAAATGGAACCGTGTTTCACAACATTTTTTTAAAACTTGGAGAACTACTCCAAGTTTTAGCTATTAATGAATTAGGAAATTGTTTTTATTTGAAAAAACCAGAGTATAGAAAAATCTTGGGTTTCTGGAATAGTTTCCATTTTTTAGTTTTTGGGTGATGTCATTCAGCCTAGTAATATAAAAAAAAAATGATATTCTGATATTATTTCTAACAAATTAAGTAGTTTAACTACTATTACGTAATAGTAGCTAGTAGGAAGTTAAGTAGATAACTTTAAAGCTTAAAGAATGACTTTTAAAACGAAGTGATTCATTAGTAGATGAACGCTTTTGTAGTTTATACAAAGCACATCTTTTTGTCTGGTTTGTTAGCTTACAAGAAGAAGTTATGTTCTTAGGACCACTTGATATGAAATTTGTGTTTCCATTAACTCTTAGGAAAATTTTAAAATTTGGATTATCAGCTTATAAAAAAAAGAGAGTAGGTCACGTGGAGACTGAGAAGGTCAGAGTATGGAACAGAAAAAAAGGAAATACTGATATACATTGAAATCTATAAATTGCAGGACTATCAGGAAAACAGGAGACAACTTTATGAATCCTGAGGCACTATATCAATTATGCGGAGCCACCCAAAATTGTTTTTATCAAGCCCAGAGCATAAATGAATTATGTAATGGACTATATGACTCTAATAGGAAGTTAGTAAATTTTAGGAGGACATTTTCCCCTCTCATAGGAACTATATTTGTGGGTTTAAGGTGACTAGGAAAGTAAAGATAATGAGCTGGGAAAGTTGGAAGCCACTGTAAAATTAGAGAATTGTGTAGTTTCATTTCAAAAGAGACTAAAGAGTTCCTGATGCATTGGCTAGTTTCCCAGTTTTTATCAAAGATATCCCAGGATAATTGCTTGGTGTAGTTTTGAATACCATGTTTTATTACGCTGTAAGTTAAATTGTGTCTTTTACCACATACAATCATGTGTGCACTCAGGTATTGTGGTGTAACGGGAGGAACAGTGGAGTACGAGGGGTTGACCTGTGTTTCTAGCCCAATACCACTGCTTCACAGATGTTTGATCTCAAGTCCTTTGCCCCGCCAGTCTACAAATGCTTCTTCTATAAATGGAAGTTTTCTCTGTCTGGCTACCTCACAGGGTTCCTGTGAGGATTAAGTGAGATTGGATATAAAGAAGCATTGTGTAAACAGAAGCAGCGTACAAATATAAAATATTTCACATACCATTTTTACATTTGATACTCTCTGTGGTACCCTATGTATATTATCCTTGTCTTACACATCACTTACTGTGTTCCTAAACAGTGTTAGCAACATTTTGTGTTAGAATTTGAGCCACAGATATTAATATGCCTTAGGAGAGATGCAGTATTAGAATAGGACTTAAATATTCTGCCCTTTTTATTTCTCAGAACTGTGAATTCTTTTTCTTTCTGATGTGGTGAATTTCAAATTGGAACACAGAAACACAGACACCCAACAAGAAAAAACCTGATTTATATCTGTTCCTTAACTAAAAAGTTAAACAAAGAAACTATTTAAAGACTTTTGGAGAGTCATCAAAATATTTCTGGTCATCTTGTGTGGAGGTGTTGGGATTCTGTTTCAGACTGTGTGGTCAGCCCTGTTTTGGCAGAATTTGAGACAGTGTTGATTTCTTCACTGCCCAAGCTAACCCCATGACAAGAGTATTCATGACCAAGCACATTCAAAAGGATGATGATCTCAGTCCAAGAACAGTTTTTGCTTCAGTAAAGTGATACCATGATGTGGGATGGAGGAATTCAGAGGCCGAGCATTTTTTAGTTCTTTGCTTTCAAATTCTCCAGTCAATTTAGATGCTGGGCAGATGACTTCACATCTCTGGGTGGCCTTTGACATCCCACCTGTAAAATGAGGGCACTGGATTAAAATAACTCTAACATGCTTGCCATTTCCAAGTTATATGGTTCTCTTCCAGAACAGAATCCTCCATGTATTTGTTTTGTGTAGAACTGGCAGAGGCAAGGTATGGGGGTCAAACCATAGACAGAACATAACCCCAAGGTAATTCTGCATCTCATTTGCATGTACTGGCAGCCTTTTCTTTGTATGGCTCTGATATACACAAATTCCAGTTATCACGATTTAGTAAATAATGTTGACACAGTCGCCATTCCTGAGATTCTAGATACTCAGCCAGGGAAATGTAGTGAAAGTGAATATTTTGATGTATATAATGAAAGTGGTTGTAATGATAAGAATAAGGGTGTCTCAAGGGAGTGACAACCAGAAAACACTCAGATAAGGAACTCTTTGAATCCGAATATATTTTGTAATACTGAAAGCACAAAGGATAAAATGATAGAAGCTTAGAAAGGAGTATGACAGTTTGCCAAGGCATGGAAAATGTGCTCACTTTGTACTGTAAGTTATGTGTTGAGAAGAAGGCAGCAAGCACTGTTCAGACAACTCTGGATAAGCTTTTTGTAAAGAAATAAAATGCTTTATATTTCAGTGTTTCTAATGTTCGAAATTATAGCATACTAAATAAATATAGTTTTACTATTTTTTCATTTCCCTATACATTATAACAATAAAATAATTCTTAATGTTTTTACAGATTTTTTTTAAAATTAAAGTTTATTGGGGCGACAGTTGTTAGAAAAGTTACATAGGTTTCAGGTGTACAATTCTGTAATACATCATTTGTGTATCACATTGTGTGCTCACCACCCAGAGTCAGTTCTCCTTCCATCAACCATGTATTTGACCCTTTTTAGCCCCTTCTACCACCTCCCTCCCCCCTTACCCTCTGGTAACCACTAAACTATTGTCTCTATCTTTCAGGTTTTGTTTCTCCATTTGTCCTGTTCCTTTGTTGTTTTCAGTTTTATATACCACAGATCAGTGAAATCATATGGTTCTTGACCTTTTTTTTGTAGTTTGAAATAATTTAATACGATTCTGTCAATTTATTTCATACTTGCCCATTCATTTTTTAACATGGTTATCTATTTTTTTATTTAATTATTATTTTTTATTGTGAAATACACATTTTTTTAGAATTAGTTTCGGCTGTACAACACAGTGCAATAGTTATACTTTTTACCCCTCCAAGTGACAACCCCCCTCCCCCAATCTGCTGCCCCACTTCCCCCAACATCATACATATCTATTACAAATCCCTTAACTCCACTCCCACACTCTACTCCACGTCCCATGACTATATATATATTCACTTATAGTTGACATACAATATTATACAACATCAGCTTCAGGTGTACAGTGCAGTGATCAAGCCTCCACCCCATCCATGATGCAGTCTCCCTAGCAAAACATGTGACCATCTGACACCCTACAAAATATTTACAACATTATTAATTATATTCCTCGAACTGTCTTTCATATCCCTGTGGCAATATTGTAGTTACATATTTATGCTGTCTAATCCCTTCCCCTTCTCCCTCATCCCCACCCCCTCCCAACTAGCAGCCATCAGTTTTTCCTCTATATCTCTGAGACCACTTCTCTTTACTTTGCTCGTTCATTCAGTTTTTTAGATTCCACATATAAGTGAAATCAAATGGTATTTGTCTTTCTCCGGCATAATATAGTCTCCAGGTCCATCCATATTGTCCCAAATGGTACAATTTCATTCTTCTTTATAGCAGAGTAATACTCCATTGTATAAATGTACCACAGTTTCTTAATCCAGTCATCTACCGATGGGCATTTTGGTTGTTTCCAAGTCTTGGCTATTGTGAATAGTGCTGCAATAAACATAGGGGTACATATATTTTTTCGAATTAGGATCTTGGGTTTCTCTGGATAGATACCCAAGATTGGAATTGCTGGGTCATATGGTAGTTCCATTTCCAGTTTTTTGAGATACCTCCATACTGATTTCCATAATGGCTGCACCAATCTGTAGTCCCACCAGCAGTGCACCAGGGTTCCCTTTTCTCCACAGCCTCGCCAGCACTTGTTCGTTGATTTATTGACGATAGCCATTCTGACCGGAGTGAAGTGGTATCTCATTGTGGTTTTTATTTGCATTTCCCTAATAATTAGTGAGGTTCAACATTTTTTCACATGCCTGTTGGCCACCTGTATGTCCTTTTTAGAGAAATGCCTCTTCATATCCTCTGCCCATTTTTTAATTGGGTTGTTTGTTTTTTTGGTGTTGAGTTGAATGAGTGTTTTATAAATTTTGGATATTAACCCCTTATCAGATATATCATTGGCAAATATCTTCTCCCATTCAGTAGGCTGCCTTTTTGTTTTATTGATGATTTCCTTTGCTGTGAAAAAACTTTTAAGTTTGATGTAATCCCATATGTTAATTTGTTCTTTTATTTCCCTTGCCCGAGGGGATATCTCAGTGAAACTATTACTCAGGGTAATGTCTGCAAATTTACTCCCTATTTTTCCTTCTAGGAGTTTTATGGTTTCAGGTCTTACATTTAAGTCTTTAATCCATTTTGAATTTGTTCTTGTATATGGTGTAAGTAGGTGGTCCATTTTTATTTTTTTGCACGTGTCAGTCCAATTTTCTCAGCTCCATTTATTAATAGACTATCTTTACTCCAATGTAAATTCTTGCTTCCATTGTCATAGATTAAATGACCGTATATGGATGGGTTTATTTCTGGGCTCTCTGTTCTGTTCCATTGGTCTATGTGTCTGTTTTTATGCCAGTACCATACTGTTTTGATTACTGTAGCCTTGTAGTATGATTTGATGTTGGATAGTGTGATACCTCCCACTTTGTTCTTATTTCTCAAGATTGCTGTAGCTATTCGGGGTCTTTTATGGCTCCATATAAATTTTTAGATTATATGTTCTATTTCTGAGAAAAATATTCTTGGGCTTTTTTTGTTTTTACAGACATTTTTAAAGATCAACGAATAATTGCAATTTTCCCTGTTGATTGTTAAGATTTCCTTGCACAATTGTTTT